AAGTATTCATATTCCCCAAACTGATCTCTTCACATTTCTTATGGTACTGACAAAGAGAATTTGTTTGACAATCAGGAGCTTCTTCACTAGGTTATCATTTCCTTTATTCTCACAACCTTTACATCTGCTTCTGGGAAGATGATGTAAGGAGAAATTAGAAGCCAGTCACACTGTTCTCTTCACACTGTTCTCTTTACATTTCCTATGGTACAGACAGAATGTGTTTGATGATTGGGAGCTCTTTAAATTGGTGATCATTATCTTTATTCTTGTCACTTTTAAATTTGCTTCAAGGAAGATAGTGTAAGGGGTCAAATTAGAAGTCAGTCACACTGTTCTCTTTACATTTCCTATGGTAGGGAAAATTTAATGAAAATCTGTTTGACAATCAGGAGTTTCTTAAATTTGTGATCATTTCCTTGACTCTCTTGACCTTTACGTTTGCTTCAAGGAAGATAATGTAAGGAGAAATTGGAAGCCAGTCACATGTAGGGGTTAAGGGGTTAGGAGCAGACAATATTTTAAAGCCAGAGGTTTCAAAGGACTGAATGGAGTTGAGATAGTATTTTCGAGGTACTGAGTGGAAGTGAAGGGGGGAAGGGGGTTTATCTCAACTGAGAGGGTGAAGACACAAAAACCAAAGCATTATACTCGTTGGGGTGGGGTGGGAGGGAAAGGGTGTTTTCTCAAAACAACACAAATATTATTATTAAAGTTCCCATGCACCACGGTAAAAAAAAAAATGCCTGAGATCGAGGCGCAAAAAAACCGTACTCGGCCAATTTTCAGTTCAGACTAAAAAGCTGAATAATTTTAACATACAATTCGATGGAAAAAAGAGAGAATAGATGAAATTCTTTGAGCGGTCGACATTTAGTTTGCAAAAGATACTTACAAAACATTTGTCCAAAGTATCTAGAATTCCTCTCTCATGTTGAAGTATTTCGTCCGCGTGCGTGTTTCGTGAGACAGGCTAACTAATAGCGCCCGCGGTACAAAAGTGTTCGGAAGTTACTTCATGTAACGAATCATGTACATTTGCTGACAGTCTCTTGCGCTTAATGGCCAATATCTGAAAATCACCTGCAAAAAAATGGATCTGCAAACTACCTAGACGAAAGTATGACTGAAAAGTCCAGAACAATAAACCAGTGGTATGTCTCTTTTGAGAAAGGAAAAGATTTTGATTCTTGGGGCCAGCTGGTGGAAGCCGCCGAGGAGTATTCAAGGTACCACATAAGAACGATATGTCTGTTTTATTTGCTTTCCTCTTTCATATGCAGTACACACATTTTGCTCCGTAATTCACTGCAATCTCATAGGAAGCAACGACGCCTATCTAAGCTACTTATGGCTAGCTTCGTTAGTGGATTTTGGCCTGAATAGGTAGAATTTTTAAGGTCATTTAGTGTTGCATGAAACGGTACTGTTTCGATTCTTGTTTGCGGAATAAATTTAAGCCCTCAGAATTTGAAAGTGGCTTAATTTTTTCCAGAAAACATTTTTAATTTTTTAGTTAAGATTCTGGTTTAGTCTTTTTTAAACCATTTTCAGTATAAATGGTTGAAACTACCCAAGAAATTTCCCAAGAGAAGATGATCATAGTTTACTGTGTGTATATTTTTCACGACTAAAAAAAACCCTAGACTGTGTATTATGATAAGCTTGTGAAGATTGGTAACAGCTATCTAGGAATGGTTTAACATAAACTTGTCGAAATAAATGCGGTAGCAACAGCGCGAGTCTGTGTAGAAATAATCGTTTTTAGATATGTTCAGGGTGATAAATGTTTAGAATGTTCAAATTTGGATATATAACATGTATATTAAACGTAAGTGTTTCATTTTAAACAATAAGCTCTGCTCCAGTTTAATCATATTTTACTGCTCTAGCAGGTGAATTTTTGTTATAAATAAATTTCAATTGTCTTTCTCTTGAAATACTTTGTAAACATTCTCTTTTGTCATTTTTAATTAATTTTTTTGCATGGCCTCAGGCCTGCCTAAGTCATATACAAATCTATGTCACCTAATATTTAATTTTCACAATTTTAATTTTTTTTTTTTTTTTACACTTGGGGAGAATTTAAAATGTAGCCACTGACTATGTACTGTTAAATCTGTATATATATGATATACCTATCTATTAATTTTTTTCCCAAGATCTGATTATTAATTCTCCCCTCTAACTGCTACAGATTTCCTTGTAAGTTAGTTACAAGATTTTAATATTAGATCAAGAATTAACATCTAGCTGATAAGTTTGAGTATTGTCATTACCTGTTTGCTGAGTAATATATGGAATTTATTACAGGGAGAACAGTGTTCTCCCTTATTTTAAGCATGACAGATAAAATAAATTTTCAAACCATTAAAGGAATCCTTTTACCTGTTGAATTTTCAAGAATTCCAAGCAATTTTAAATAGTAATAAGAGATATTACAGGCAGTAAATTTTGTTGGTTACCGCCTGAAAAGAAGAACACTGGGGAGAAGTTACTTGTCAATCAACTCTGAGAGTTGAAGGATTAAAATTTTTCTTGATAATCTGCCCACAATATTGACTAATGAGCTTATTTAGAATTTTCAAATCTGATTCTCTTTGCTTTTCTCTCTCTTTAACCTTCCTCAATGAAATTCTTGTAGTTGACCACTGATTAATAAAGAAAGTTGTTTTGTCTAGACTCGCTAGAGACTTGAAAAAACATTGTACTCTGGGAAACAAGATGTTTCAAGAGGAACAGAAGGTTTGTGGAGACAGAGTTAAAACTTTCATTATTGTGTATAAATCAATGTTTAAAGCAAAATATATTAATTGACCGCATCAATCTTGAAACAGACACACCCCTGACTTGCCATATTGCCAAAACACTGAGTTGCATATGCCACTAAGTAATATTTAATGTAGTTCATATATTCATTAAGCAGACAGATTCTTTTGGCTATCTATTCGTTAGACACGTAAGTAAAAGGGGTAGGTTTCTAAAGAAAATGTAGGGCTACATTGGTGTGAGAGCATTCAGTTTAATTTGGTTCTATTAACTGAGTTGATAAAAATGTAAATTGGCTACAGTAAAGAGTTTAAAAGCTGACATTTCAAGCGTTAGCCCTTCATCAGAGCCCTTCATCCAATGCTCAAAATGTCAGCTTTTTAAAATTCTTTACGTTGGCTGATTTACATTATCAACTCAGTTGATATTACACCAAATTACCCTGAACATTCTCACACTGATCCAGTTTTTTTAGAAACTTACCCCTTTATTAGACACACTCCAGTGCTTTCAAATGACTGTAAACACTTGAAAGGGTTTGACCATTGCAGAAAAAAAATAACATTTGCAGGGAGGGCCAAGTAGATTTGGTCCATTTGCTCCATTTACTGCTCAAGAATTAAAGATAGACATAGCCATTTACATGATTATGGCACACAAATTTTTGCTTTAATTTTATTGATAACAAATTAAATGTAATGTTTGTTCTATAGAAACTGATGCTTAAAATGTCAGCCTGTTTTGAGAAGAGAAGCAAAATATTACTATCCACTCAGGTGAATTTGACTGTGATCATGTTTGGTTTGATAATATTATGAGGTTTTTTCTTGCATGAGGAAAAAAAAAGGCGAAATTCATTTAGACCGTGAGTTCTGTTATATACTGTATATGGTTATTGAGAAGAGTGAGTGCTTAGGAAGGAGATTGCTCATCAATAGTGCATCAATTTAGTATAACCTTGGCACCATATCTTCGAAACACATTTACTATAATAAGCTTAATACTTAACAATTATTTCATAAGCGCTGTTGAATATTAAATGATGAATTGCAAATCTTGTGTCCAACAAGCATGAATAGAATAATCGTCTTATTATGAACACTAGCTATGGGAGCTTAATGAATTTGTTTTAATCCTAAGATTAAGAAATACTTGTATGTATTAGTTTCTATATAAGGTGATTGGCCTGGTGATTGGGTATATGATAACTGGAGTTAAATGGGCCAATCAGAGCATTAGAAATTCAATAACCAGAGTTGAAAATTTAATAACAATGATTATTATAATCACATACACAAAAATTTGGAAGTAAATCAATCGGTTAATTTTAATTAATAATTGATTTAGTCTTGAAATGTTTACAGTTCATCTTCTCAATTGTATATTATTACTTTTTATTTTGATTCAAAATAAGGCTAGAGATGATGAGATCTCATTTAATGATATCAAGAAAGTTGGTGAAGGTGAGTGTGCATTGTTTGTTACTATGCTGTCATTGCTCCCTGCATATAACTGTACAGTATATGTTTCAATAATCCATTTTACAGTTGAGTGCTAGGTTGCCATTAGCCTTCAAACAGGAGTGAGGCTAAGGGTGACCTTGTTATGACACATACATTGCTGCTTTTTAAATTAATGTAAATTACTTTGTTATCAGTTGCTAACTAGATACTGGTCTCTATCACAACAAGGTCACCTTCAGCCTCACTTTAGATCAAAGGCTCAGCAACTAACATAAACAACTGTAAAATGGCTAGTAATTTAGAAACAATTGATACAACCTCTTTGAGGGAGACAGTGGTGTAATGATTAAGTGCCCGCCAATATTCTTATAACAACCTCTCAACTTTCAGCACAACAAAAAATGTCCCAATGATATTCCTATGAAGCCAGCTTCATCACAATATTTCTATTAACTGGTTTGTCTTAGTTTTTAAAATAATTCTTATTTTACAACAGTTTTAACTGCAGATTACCATTATCAACTCTTTTTGCACAGTGTTGAGAAACTTAAATGTAGGTTGGAATGGTCCTTTTCCAGTCAGGATCGAAGAGCCTAAAACAAGGTTAGTCATAATTTAGATCAATAAGTAAGTTTTAGGTTGTTATTTTTATAACTGGTGGGGCCAGCAAGAAATAAAATTAAAAATTTCAAGCTGATTGAATAGATGATCTTGGTTAGCTCATCAAATTTTTGGCACCACACATACAGGAAGGAAATTTTTTATAGTCCATTTTGCAGTTGCATGCTTGGTTGCCAAGCCTTTGAACAGGAGTGAGGCTAAGGGTGACCTTGTTATGATACAGACATTGCTGCTTTGTAAATTACTTTGTTATCATGCTAATTAGATACTGGTCTCTATCACAACAAGGTCACTTTCAGCCTCACTCCAAATCAAAGGCTTGGCAACTAAATGCATTACTGTAAAATGGCCAATTAAACTTTTGCCTCTTCTAAAATAAAGATCACCAAATTGATCAGGTCTTCAGTGACATGTGACTTGATGGGTCCTGTCCAGATCATTGGCAAGTTGAACCTTTCCTTGGTTCTTTCTTCATTCAGGGTCATTTTTTGGTTTCTGATGTAAATTGTCTCTCAAACATTACTGCTATCTGAAGGATGGAAAGCCTACAACTTTTTTTTCTGTTCTGTATAGCCTCAAAAATTTTTAAAAGCTGACTGAAAATGCAAATTCCTACCTATTTAATTGTTCATTTGATTATTATTGAGTAGTTGATATGTGCAAATTAAATTTTGTTAGTGATACTGATGTAACAGAATATGGAGATGAAAATGGAACTGAGCATGTTTCTTCAGTTGGTGAGTTCTTTCCTTTTTTAATGCATGAACACACTTTAAGATCTTATAGGCATTCAAGTTATTACTTGAGTACACCAGTGTACTCTGTCATAGAACATCACTATGTCTGGTGTCTTTTCTATCAGTAATCATACAGTTCAGTGTGTGACACAGATTACTTATACTGCCTAGGATCCCATTTTCAGATAGGGCGATAGTTACCTCAAAATTAGAGTTGGGCATGATTAATACTCTTCTATGCCCTTGAAAATTAATGTGCTTTTGATTGAATGAAAATTCCTGATATTGCAATTGTTTTTAAAACATGCTTATACCAACTGATTGAAAAGGCTAGTTTACAGAAATGCAATAAAAACAGCAGTGTGGCACACCATTTATGAAAGAGTTCTAGAAACTTACAGAAGAGAACTATCAGTAACAGTACTCAGTTGAAATAATCTGGTCGTGTATTTAGCATGTTAAACAACCACAACCCTTTTTCAGATATTAATCTTACATATGTCATACATTTTTTTGTTTTTGTTGTATTTTCTCTCTGTCATATAATGATGTTCATCTTTTTTCTTGTTTTTTAAGCTGAAGGAGGGTCTCTGTTGCCGCGTATCCCATTCGAAGAAGGATATCATCGACTTGTTGTACGAATCAACCAGATTGGACTGAAGGATGCCCATGTGTACATTAATCCATTTTTTACTGTGTCTGTGAAAGGTAACGATCAGTGATTATTATAATGCCAAGGTGGAGGGGATGTTAACTAATTCCTTTAACCCCTAAGAGTCACCATGAGCATGTAATTTCTCCTCTCAATTTCATCCCTAAAACACACATAGGGTCACAAGAATAAACAAAATGATCACCAACAAAAGAAGTTCTCGATTGTTAGGTACATTCTCCTTACCAGCAACTTAGGAAATGTAAGGAGAACAGTATGGAGAATATGCATACTGATATTTAGGGTGTAAAGAGCTAACAAATAAATGCAGCAAAATTTGTATTGAACTATTGAGCGTTTTCCTCTCCACAGATGCCAATGGTGTGAATGTCACCCCAGCTCAAGATACACCCACTTCAAACAGAGTTAATGGAAAGTTTATCAACTTTGATACTGATGTAGAAATTCAAAAGCCTATAGAGAAACTTCCAAGAGGTTAGAGTTGTTTTTTTTTTGTTTTTTTTTTTGTTTTTTTTTAATTCTATGTGTCTATTGGGCTCTTTGTCAAAAAGAACATTGTCAAAGGGAGGACTCTTAAAAAAGAGGAGATAATTCCACCAATCACAGCTAAATAAGATTTCAGAAGAGGAAGTTTGATTCATTTCTAACAAATTCACTGAGTACCAAGCCAGTACAGTTTGTTGATTTGAAATTAAAAGCTCTGTTTTGACCAAACTTTTTTTTTGAATGGTCAGTATTTAATTGAAAGGGAACACAGAAAAAAGGCTGTGATGCAGCATCTTCTTCTCCCCACTGTTTCACAAGGGAACACAGGAAAATTTGAAAGGAAAATGGTGTAGTCTATCAGAAGTCACAATAAGAAGCTTTTTCCGTACATCCCTTCCATTTGTCTTACATGGTTCTCACTCTGTACATGTTTGATTTATTCTGACAAATCCAGCCTTATCTGTCTTAACTTCCCGGAAGTTAAAAATAGTGTAAAATTTCTCCATGCCATGTCAATCGAGCAGGTGATAAAACAAAGTTCTCAGGAGCAAGATGTTACATTCTAATAAAGCCAACGTTCTCCAAAAATGTTTATAAGTTAAAATGTACAATGACTATAAGAGAGAATCTCTTGTTAGTTACTGGCCAGTTAAAACGTGTTAAGACTTCTCGTTGTTTTCACAATACAGGTACCGCAATATTCTTCGAGTTTAAACATTACAAACCGAAAAAGGATATTGTGAGCACAAGGTGTTTTGCTTTCATGGAACAGGACGAGTTTAAACCTGGTCCTGCCTGTATCGAACTGTAAGTAAATACGACTATTTGTTAACTGCATCAGGGACGCTTTCATGATATAAGCAATCTTAGCAATCAAAATTGACTAAAGTGTTTGTACAGACATAAGCGGTGGCCTTGAGGTCGTATTAAAAGGGTCTGGGTCAGAGCCTAATTCCGGAATACTGTCTTGTGTTCTTGGGCTGGACACTGACAGGGATTTCAATAGCGTTTGCCATAAGCGGCTGCCGACGGTGCCTGAAGAGGCGGCTGAGCCCGGAAAAGGGAGCGTACAGCAAAACTCAAACACGAGAGCGGTGTGAGGTCTGATTAAGGCGGCGGTAGATCGAGGGTAACTGGCTGTCATTGAAAACCCTGCGCTTACCTTTATTGACTGTGTAACTGTTTGTCTATCTGTCTGTCTGTCTGTCTGTCTGTCTGTCAGTCTGTCTGCCTGTCAGTTTGTCTGTCCGTCTGTTTGTCTGTCTGCCTTAACGGCTGACTGCCTAGTTCTCTATCTGACCGACTTTCTGACTACCTGACGGTCAATGATTTCCTCTTTATCTGAATGTCTATCTTTCTGACCAACTGATTTTCGCCATGTTTATTTGATTGACTTTCTGACTATCTTAATGTCTGTCTGTCTAAATTTTGTGTGTCCGTCTGCTGTTATTGTTATCCTGATACTGCTTTTTCACGGTCTTAAACTGCAGGGTTTCTTTTTTTTTTTTTTCAGCTATCAGAAACCAACGGATTTTAATCGCAAGAGGTTAAATCTATATACACAAAAACCGCTATATCTTCACCTAACACTCAATGTCCTTGATGACTGATATCAGACAATAGATAGCATGCGAGTAAGCCCTTATTATTATCCAACAGCACAAAGTAGAGTACAAATATCTTGCGATATTGTACGGTCATTTGGACAGTTGGTTATTTTGTACTGTAAAAAGACGCTTCTCTATTCACTTTGCTTTTCCCGCCATATAAGAAATGAGCAGAAAAACTTGGCAGAACAAAAAGCAGTTGAATAATAAATAACTTATTAGGCGTTTTGGTGTGTTGTATCGCTGAGTATCGTTACTCGTGGTTTGTGATTTAACTCGCCCTACGGGCTCGATAAAATACGGCATAACTCGTAAAATACTAAGCGATGCTATACACCAAATTACTCTGTGATACTAAACACCAAAGCGTCTAATCAAATATATTTATTGGCGCTTAAGCACAAGCATTTTTTTGCCCGCGTGAAGTATTGAAGCGTTGAGAAAAGCGAGCCAGGGAGGAGCCTGCAAGGGGTCTGGCACTCATAATACCTCGTACCAGACCTCTTGCCGACTTCTCGCCTTACTCTGGGCCTCAAACGGGTGACGAACGCTTGTGCCAAAGCCTTAACAATGACGACCTGCTCGTAGGCAACACAAAGATGATTTATTTCTTTCGCTAAAACACGAGCAAGGAGTCAAAGGATGCAATACCTTTCTAATGAATCATACACATATACTATTAATATTTTTAAGCGCAATCCTGATGCTAACCAAAACTATCCAAGAATTTTTACAAGGGGAAGGAATCAAGCTATTTTTTATTACAAAGTGTGAGTAGGGTTTTTTTCCTTTCATTTATAACGCATTTTCGCAGAGAATTATTTTCAAAGTGGCTGTGAGCTACTGAAGCAAAAATTGCTTCAGTAGCTCATATTTGTTTCAAGTATCTATCATTCAGTAGCTCATATTTGTTTCAAGTATCTATCGATGGGGGATTTAAAATATTCCTTGTATTGGAAATTGCTTACCAATTTGCTTACCAGATCTGAAAGCTTTAAAAGAAATTCAGTCGAATTTGATGCTCTTCAAAGAACACAGAAAATTATCCCAAAAAGGCTTTTGAATAAAGGAATAAAGAAACCTAGATTAAAATTTAACCTTGAGCTAGAGCTTATCGGCCTTCGAACAGCTGGGCCCAGAAGAATTGAATTTTCCCTTTTATCAAACTCTGCGAGATAAAAGGCAAACTTAGTTTGAAAACAGCGAATTCCACAAGGATTATGAATTATTAGAGAAGAGGGTTTAATATTCATTTCTCCTTAGACCTAGAATGTCAAAATTATAATTATAAGTTTCATAAGATACTGATGTGGTGAGCAAGTGGAACATATTATAAGCTAGAAATTGACAAAACAAATCCTTTGCTTCTCACAGGCTGGTACCTCAATGTGAATTAGTTATATGAGAAAAAATATATATAGCGCAAGTTCTTCATTTGACTGTAACTAGTAGCTAATATCATAACAGTCGAAAGAACATTTTGTTTAATTTTAAAACCATGGTGCTACTCTGTTTTTTAGCGAAAGAAGAATTTTTGCCACTTTTCACATCAAAAAAAAATTAATCAAGTAATGTACGCCTCTTTAGTTTAGAAAGAAACGTCTTGTTCGACATTGGAAAAGGAAATGTTTTAATTCAGTTCTTCCTTATCTTTTTAGCATTTTAGGGGCAATTTATTTGGTAGTGAATGTCAGAGAAAAACGAAATATTTCCTTATTATCTTAAACGTAACTTAGATTTAGAAACTATTTAGTAGATCGATTTATTTTAAAAATTGCAGTTGAAATCTATAATTGTAGATGTCGATGTATTTAGTTAGGAAAGTTTATTTGTTGGAAGAGCTCGTTTCATCGTAGATCATAATTAGGGTTTTTATCGTTATTTTTAGAGAAATTTTCAATAGAGAGTCGAAAGTAATCCAAGATTGCATCGGTTTAACTCTACTTCGTTCTGTGATTGGTCCAGAAAGCTCGTGTCACTTTCTCAACCAATTAGATGTAAAAGTAACACCAATCATGACTTGGTCGCCCGCGTTTTCCCGCGCTTTAGGCAGTTTGGTTGTTTTTACCTCGAGTTCGCATCTGCTTGTAAAGATCTTTTTTTTTCCTCTGATTGATTGTTGTGATTCCTTTTGTTTTGCTTTAACGACACGCAATCAAAAAGCACTCGATTGAAAAAATAAAGGTTAGAAAGTGAGAATTACTCCTAGACTGGTCATTCTGTTTATTAAACTTTTCATTTAGCTTACGCCTGCAACTAATTCATTTTTCGTCCTCTGATAACATTATATGTTTGTCAATCACTGAAGGACAGGACCAAAATGACAGAGACTGAGTTCTTGGGGTGTTAGTCAGGACTTTAGGCAAAAATTTTTTTATCCAAGAGTCTTATCGTTTGGCTTCTATCTGAAAGAGATTCCATTGTGAAAACTTTCTTCAATCGTATCAAATTGATCAGAAAGGTCTACCGAGGAACATTGCAATTTCCCTTTTCAACCATTAAAAGCCACGAAACGTCCACATGAGGTTTTAAAATTTTATAACCAGCAGTAACGCAATCTTGTTAGCCCTAGATTTTCATCACGACAAAATCGAGTAACCGTTTTTTCGTTAATTGTTAACAAATTGAATATCTCAGTAAAGGCATTACTTTTTTAGGGTTTGAGGAGATACGTTGATTGCTGTTTCAATTCAAGATAAAAGAATATTTAGCATCTGCATAAAACTTTCCACGAAAGATATTTATTAATTTACAGGTTAACTAAGGCAAAAAATTGCTAAGGTCACCAGCGTCAGTATCGAAGTCAATTACGTGTAATAAGATGCTTTAAAATCTCTTCCCAATTACCTGTATGCACATCTTTTGTTTCAAGCAGTCCCTTTAGCTTTACTATGACAACATAAAATATCATTTGAGAAAAATTGAGAGAAAGTGAATCATGAGATCCATTAAGATGCCATGAATTCCTAGGAGGTTTTTGTGGGGATGGCAGATGACTTAGTCAAGATAAGGACGAAAAGATTTTGGGGTCAGAGGATTTTGGGGGGATCATAAGGCTCAGGTAGAGCGGAGGAGGGGGGAGAGGGGCTCAATCATCGCCAACAGAGTGTTGGATTGTTTTGGTTATCTATTTTGAGCAACTCGCGTAAACGGAGGCAATAAGAGTCTGTTCAGGAGCTTTATTTCACTCTCTGAGACTCTGTCTCTCTTCGACAAATTTAGCCCTAAGTGCGCTCTCTGAAATACCCTATCGGTAGGCATGGGTGGGTTCATGGGACAACTGGCCTTGGCAGAGTAAACATATTTGTAGAACGCTCACCAAAACAATCTCAAAAGACATTCGAAATGAACAACAAAGTACCTAACAACAACCAATCTTCGACAACTAAACAAAACTTTCCGTTGAGGACTCTAAGCAAGGTCAAGAACAAACCCAAACACAACTAGCGATGGCGACTATCACACGAGAATTAGGCCCTCTATGTTAAAACCAGGAAGGAGGGGGCGTCTCCGAGGTTAATATTGGTCAAATCACAACTACCAGTATGACATCACGCAAGCAATATGGTGGATAAATTTGTCATTCGTTATCTTCTGCGAAATTTGGAATTTTCAATCATATCGATAGGTTGATTTCTTAATCTTGAGGTATTTAAGATTCAGAAAATATGTAAGAGTTTTTGTAAGTAGTTGGAGTGAGGAGATGGTGTTTAAGAGCTTCACATTTAAGATGAAAACATATTACTTTGTGGCTTATTTATCAGCTGAAAATGTTCGGTTGCTAATGTTTTTCCCGAGGAGAAGCTAAAACACTTGTAAAAATATTTCCCTTTAAGGTATTTATTAACTAACAGGTTGACAAAAAATTTTCAAGGTCACCAGCAATAAAGTCGAAATCAACTGGTTATTCAATCAGACTGAATGTAATAAGATACTTTAAAAGCTCTACTCTATTTCCTGTAGGTATTCACATCTTTTGTTTCAAGCAGCCCTTTCAGCTTTAAAGAAAGACATTTTCTATACGATGACAACATCGGATGTCAAAAAAAAAAATTGAGACCAAGTGAACCATGAGATCCATTAAGATGCCATGAATTCCTCTGTGGTAACTGTGAAGAAATAGATTATGTAATGTATTCAATCGCAAAAATCCTAAAGCTTATAAGAACATAACATAGTGAAGAGATCACAACAGCAGTCGAGATAAGCCTGGACAGTTGTACCCCTCTGTGACGATACGGTGAAGATGAACTTTCTTGGTTTCGCTTTCCCCTTGGCGTTGCTTGTAGCAGTTCAGCTAACCACTTTAACATGGGCAGCAACGAATGTGACGAAAACCTCAGGAAAAGGTAAAAAAGGTGTTCCCTTTATTTCCAATCCCTTTCCCACACGCAAACTGTATTCGTTGGATTAAGCGTTGCTCCCGAATAAGCCCTCTGGGACTGTAATTCAAACGCTAGCGGGCGCTAGTCTGTCTGAGGCACCCTTGGAACTTATTTTACGCAGAAATATTTTTCTCAGTCTCAAACGCTACAGTTCTTCAGTAGACACACATTAAAGGGCGGTAGTTACTTTTAAAATTTTGCAAACATAGAGCAAGCCTATTCAAGCCGTGGATTCTGTGTGGGTTGTTAATTCGATTCCGATAATAGATCTAAACGTAAACCTCCTCATATTGATGTTTGATCGACAAATTTTGAACTATGTATAGACAAAATTAAACTTTGAGTAACAGTATCTGTTACCTGCTGAAAATAATTTACAATAGAACAAAAGAACTTATGATGGACTGTAATTTTAATTTGACGGAAGTTTTTTCTTAGAGAATTTTCTAGTAATTACAAGTAAATCGTTGCATCTTTAGGAGAAAAGAAAAACTGAGATATTTGGTGTACGCTCAATGGCCGAGCAAAGCGTAATTGAAAACTGACTTTTGTCTCGAGTTTTCATCTTTTTTTATCAATTTTGCGAGGATGGCAGATAACATAGCGAAAGTTAGATAAACGTTGACTTAACTGCAGAAGGTTACGCTAGTCTTCAAAGAAGTAAGTCAGTCCTCCAAAGAACTGAGAGAAAGAGAGAGCCTCCTTCCTCAAACTTTAAGGTCACTTTTCAATTTTGGTCTTCATCGCCGATTAAACGTGTTTCAAAGATTTTTCCAATTTCTCCTCACCGGAACAATACATCATTAATTCTGCACTAGGAAGCAACCAACATTATCACGTGGGGGGAGAGGGGGAGGGAATGAGAGATGGAAGAAGGATTTTGGAGCCAAAGTAATATTTTTTGGGGCCGGAGGAGGGCTCATATGGTTTTCAGGAGAATGAAAGGGGGATCAGTCGTTGCTTACAGAGTATAAAAGGAAAACTATAGGAAATTTACTGTAAATGAGCGGGGATCATTAGAACACTACAAACCCCCCCCCCTCCTCCTCCTACCCTCCTTTTTGCCAAGCGATAAATGACAAATTACCGGTTCATTGATTCGTATACGAAAACTCAATTGCTGTAGAGCTCATAGAGCTAACATGAAAATTACAAATGATCCTCTACTGCATTTCTTGCAAGAATGTTTCACGGAAAGACAGATATTCTTACTCGAGGTCTAATTTTGTTCAGCAAAACAATTTAAAAAAAACTGATTTATCAAACATTTAAATAGTAACTTTAATCATTGCCCTTGAATGAGAATCGAATGGAGGAATAACACACGGACCCCTAAGGAGGTAATCGTCATCTTCATCCGAATGAAGAAGCTCTATGAAGGATAAGCATATAGCATAATTTTGAGAAACATGTGATAATATGAATAAAAAGACGACCTTTTCTGGTGTCAAAGATTATGATGAGCAAGGAAAACACCTGGGTGAACAACCAGTACGTCGCATGGTACCACAGTGCGATCTTAACCCATTCTCATTGCGTGGTGGTAAACCGACCTTTCCAGAGCAGCAAGATGTCACCCTTTCCCTCTGTCCAGACAATCAATATGGCATTTTCTATAATAATTATTGGGGCATTGCACGGTACACACTCTACAAGATTACCGCCGCACAAGCCCACAAAGCCAAGACAGACCCAGTACCAAGACCTAAAGGTGACCCGTGGAAACAAACTCCAGGTAACTAGTTTTGTTATTATAATTTATTTTTGTGATAAAGTAATTTAGGCATAAAATAAATTCGTTTCTCATTCCACTACTACAACGTCCGTTTGTTCGTGTTGTTTTCGTCTTTCACGCACTGTTATGCGATCGATAAGATGCTGAGATGAGACCGAATGTTTCGTAAACTTAAAGTTAAAACACTAGGAAATGTATACATACAACATATATATGTATATGTATATATATATATATATATATGTATATGTATATATATATATATATATATATAATAACACCCGCTTTCAGAAACGTTGCAATTTGAAAATATACATGAAATATATATACATACTTTTTTTTTCTCCTCAAAATGAGACACTTTGTGATGAGAAATTAAACAAAATGTGTATATATTTCATTTTTGTTTTCAAATTGCAACGTTTTCGAAAGTGGATGTATATACATATATACACATGTATGTGTTTTTATATATAGATAGGTAGATAGATAGATAGATGGGTAGATAGATATTAAGTAGATATACATCTACATTATGCATCATTATTCTCTCACGCAATTTAACCACATTAGGGCAACGGTAGACGCGAAACATGCAACGGTATTACACTGCAGGTGCAAAGGAGCAAAAATACAGATGGAAAGAGGAGAAACTTGTGGGAAAAGTCATGCATGATGATATAATCATGTTATGCAAACCATTTCTTTGACTCAACTGAGATCTTTCACTTAAAACATTTCGTAACTGTGATCGGGAGGGTAAGAACTTAATTTACCTAGCGGATAAATCGAGAACAAAACTTCTTGGCTTGTGAGTGACATCAGTGTATTTTAAAACTCTCTCATGTTCAGGGATTAATCATCAAGGAAGCAAAGACTTGTACAAGTACCAACCTATCCCGTGTTTATACGACAGAGGCCACGTCGTTCCTGTTAATATCTTACGTTACAGCGATGAAAGTGCTCGTGCCACTTTCACCTTCACCAACTGCGTGCCGCAAATTGCAGGTTTCAACAGAGGTCAGTGGAAAAAGTACGAAACGAAAATAGTGCAATATGCTCAGCACTATTGTGCTCCAGAAGGCGGAACTCTTTA